CAGGCCTCTATCCTATATAATAAAAGAGTAATATGCAAACTGACCCTAACAGCAGAAAGACTTGGAATGACTGGTCACTATGACACACACTGACCACCAGGGGGCAGATGCTCAATGCAGGAGCTGCCCCCTGGTGGTCAGTGTGCTCCCACAGGGGGAGCTCTGCTCAGTCACAAGCCAGGCTGATGGCTGCCAGTACAGCGGTGGTGGTGGGAGCCTCTCCTGCCTCCTCAGCAGTGCTAAGGATGTCCGACTTCAGCTTAGGCCTGCTCCCTGCTGGTAAGTGGACATCCCCCGAGGGCTGCCGGGCTGCCGGGCTGCCAGAGGGATGTCTGACTGCCAGCTTCGGCCCGATCCCCCAGGGAGCGGGCCTAAGCCAGCAGATGGACATCCTCCGAAGGGTCCGAGACTGCAAGAGGGCATAGGCTGGGCTGAGGGACCCCCCCGAGTGCACAAATTTTTGTGCACTGGGCCTCTAGTCTATATGTATAAAAGCCTAAGTGGCTGTCCGACCGTTCAACCATCTGACCAGTAGCTATGATGTGCCTTGACCACTAGGGGGCAGACGCTCAATGCGGGAGCTGTTGAGCTGCGGGGACTTGGCAGTTGCGGTTCTCAGGTGACCACCCAGAACCAGAGAGGAAGGAGCCCGATTCCGGTGTGCATCACCTGAGAACTGCCCTTTCGCATTCCGGGACCCCTCAGGGGACATCTGAGAGCTGGTATCGGCCTGATCCCTGCAGTCCAGGCCGAGGGACCCCGCCATGCACCAGGCCTCTAGTAAGTATATAAGTTCTTCGGTTTATCTCTTCTCATCTCTCCCACCCCACAATGAGGTATGTCAGTCTGTCCCATGCCTCCATGCTTAGGGTCTTTTTTGTTGGTAAATTCATTCTGCTCATTAGATTCTACAAATAAGTGAGATCATGTTATATTTGTCTTTCTCAGATTGGCTTATTTCTCTTAGCATAATATTTTCCAGGTCCATCCATGCTGTCCCAAAGGGTAAAAGATCCCTCTTCTTACAGATGCATAGTATTCCATTGTGTAAATGTCTCACAGCTTTTAAAAAAATGCTTTATTGTTTAAAGTAGTACATATGTCTCCTTTTTTCCTCATTCACCTCTCCCCAGCTATGCCCACCCCCAATCACATGCTCTCACCACCCTAGTGCCTATGTCCATTGGTTATGCTTATGTGCATGCATACAAGTCCTTTGGTTGATCTCATCCCCCCCTCCCCTGCCTTCCCACTGAGGTTTGACAGTCTGTTCGATGCTTCTCTGTCTCTGGATCAGTTTTTGTTCATCAGTTTATGTTGTTCATTATTTTCCACAAATGAGTGAGATTGTGTGATTTTTATCTTTCTCTGACTGGCTTATTTCACTTAGCATAATGCTCTCCAGGTCCATTCATGGTGTTGCGAATGGTAGGAGTTCCTTCATTTTTACAGCAGCATAGTATTTATTCCATTGTGTAAGATGTACCACAACTTTTTAATCCACTCATCTGCTGATGGGCACTTAGGCTCTTTCCAAATCTTAGCTATTGTAAATTGTGCTGCTATGAACATAGGGGTGCATATATCCTTTCTGATATGTG